GATTCACAACAAACGTTAAAAACATAAAATATATAAATACATAAAATCTTAATTAAAAACATTACTAAAAAGAAGAAGGAGAGACCAAGAGGATGAAAAATCTGAAGGCTGAAGGCAGAAGGCCTCTATGGGGCTAGCCATTTTGACAGAAGAGTAATACGTTTAGAAAACTCAAACTAAATATTTGTTTATATTTGATCACAAAGATTCCCCAATAGTTTACTATTTGTCACTAGCCTAGAAAGGAAAAGAAGGCCAGCCTGAAGATTCAGGAACATCTGAAATACAAGAAGTACAATTATGCACTGTACCAGAAAGAGGAGTTAAAATCTACCTATGCTTTCATTTAGCCAACATAATAAACCATGATGTATTATTACAGGAGAAGTAGCAGTGAGCTCCAGGTTTGTGCACTACCCATTTGGCAAGGCGCAAACAACTAGCTAAGAATACTAAACTGATTTAGACTAATTGCAGTTAAACATTAGATCTAATTTTTAGGCTGAAAAAAAAAAATCAAACCTGATCTGGCTTAACTGAAAATAATATCTCAAAGATTTCAACAGCACTTACATCCAAGCAAATATCTTTAGGACTGAACATGACATATAAAGATAGGAGAAACTGTTTTTTACCAAAAAACATGATTTATTACCCCAGGGGTATGCCAAATATACAGAAACTATAACTTTCCCCAATATGATTTCCAGCATTTGAAGCTCTCCTTTCACCAAAGTTAGATAAATCATATTAAGGAAACAATATATATTGCAATTAAAATCATGTTATATGCATGTTTATGTAAATTAAATATTATATGATAGATTTACAGAGAGGCCCGTTGTATATAAGTATTAGAGACAGGATATTAATTTTAATAAAAAATTTAAGTAAAATTAGGAGCTATTTCTGGTGGACAGGAATCAATACAAACCTTACAGTTAAGGAGGCACAGTTGAACAATTTTCATAAATGAAAAGTAGAAGTCAGATTCCAAATTAATTACCCCAATCAATGCTGGTGTTCACAATTTTGACCATTGGAGCGTAGAACACAGCTTAGCTGAATGCACAGGTAAACAGAAAAGAATACAGAATGATCCAAAGGTCTGATCCAAATTATAATAGTGTTTTGTTTAGCAAGATTCATATAAGAGGGTTGTTGGATAGCACAAACAGCCTCCATATAATAAACACCACAAACTTGCAGACTGAGGAAGAAGGATCCAGACTGTTTTTCTATATTACTGTACTTTTATAAAACACAACAGCCAGCTTCAGAATAATCTCTGTTTTAAAATAAATGAAAATGTAGTATCATAAAGGTAAGTATTTCAGACAGAAAACAACTTGACTGATCTGGAAAGTTTACTTTTGCACATATTTCTTCTTTAAAATAAACAAGCGTGTTATGCTTCTGCTGTTTGACATTGTGGCTATATTGTAGCTACCTTCTTGGAAGTAAATTCTACTGAACTCAATGGGATTTACTTCTTAGTGAACATGTATAGCATTGCATTGTAAGTCTCTACTCTTCTCCCCTTCCAAAGGCAACTGATGTTGCAATCCTGAATACACATAGCTGAGAACAAGTGGTATTTTGTAATAAACATATTCAGAATGGGAACAGAAACACTATACCTATATTGAAATTATAGGATCAGGGTAAAAACTGTTTGATTGGACTACCAGATGTTACAGCTGTATTCTGTAACTTATGGAACAGCTTCTTCCATCCATATACACTATTTAGGTTTTAGCTATTATAATTGGGACTACAGATAATGAAGATAATAATGAGCTGAGAAACTGCTTTAGTTTTTCAAAGAATGAAGGATGAGCTCCAGATCTGGGATTTAGGATATACTTAATCTTTCAAAATCTTGGGTCACAGATACACAAAAATAAAAACTAGGGAGGACCCAAGTGCACTCAGCACTCACATATATATATTTGGATATTTTCATTTTCCTAAAATGTAAGAGATATCCTAAGTCATGTGAAGTTGGGGAGAGCTGTTTAGTCAAACATTCCCTCCTCATTGCACCCATTTCTTACCTGATAATGTCATCATTGTGCCCCAGGAAAAACTTCTGTGTATGCTCTCTGGTGTTATAAACCACCCCGACTCCAGCCACGAAGTAAACCACTTCCTTGCCTGCTGTGTAGTACAGGTTGTTGCGGCACTGATGACCCCTATACCCATATACCCACTCCAGATGGAGCTGGCATCTAGGAGCTGTCCGATCCGCCATGATAATCAACCCTCCTCCCTAGAAGCACACAAAAAAAACTGGTGCTACTGCCCCCCAGCCCCACGTTCTTGCCTTTCCTGTTTCTTTGTTACAAATGCTCTCAATTTTTGCTTGGCTGCCAAATCATCCAGCTGCCCTTCCTGATGCTGAGGATTTTTAGTGAAAATGCATCCAAACAGAGTCCCGCTCTGCTGCTGCTGGCTTGCTAGTGCTGAGCCGCCACCATAATCTTCTACTGCCAAAGATGAGCAGCCGTTGCTGCTTTCCCAGTTTTGCAACCCAGATAACTTGGAGGGGGGAGCGCCCACAGAGGCAAATTCCAAGTCAAATCCAGCGAAAGGCGGATGGCATGAGCTTCTCTGCATCAGCTGCAGAATGCTGGTGCTGTGGGTCTCATGATATCTTCTAAGCTTCTAGCAAACAGAAAGTCACTACCTTTCAAACATGTTTATAGTTCTTAACTGTGGAAAAAGTGCAGCTGATATGCAAAATTAGCCCTTTTTAAAAAAAAAATTCTGCGCAAATCTCAGTTCATTCTGTGACTGGTAACAAAGAATGTAGTCTTCTACAGATGACCATAACAGATTTGTAACTCAGTGTAAAGAAAAGATGTTTCTGGAAAGAAAAAGAAAGATTTTGATATATAAGATATCCAGATAAGTTTGTGTTTTAATTTACTATTTAAACAATAGTCTGAAAGATAACAGTCTGAGCCAGTTTGGTGTACTGGCTGAGTGCTGGATTAGAAACTGGGAAACCGTGAGTTCTAGTCTTCCCTTAGGTATGAAATTGGAGAAAAATTATCTATGTGGTCACTAGGAGTCGAAAACAACTTGATGGCACATAATCAATCAATTTTAGGCATGAAAGCTTGCTGGGTGCCTTTGGGCCAGTCCGTTTCTCTCAGACCAATGCACCTTACAGGGTTATTGTTATGGGGAAAATAGGAGGCAGAAGCATTATGTACATTGACTTGAACTGTACAAAATAAAGGCAGAATATAAATATAATAACAAAAGGAAATATTAAAAAAATGATTTAAAAGCAACAAAACTAACTTTTCAAATAAAATGTATTAAACTTTGCAAGGCTACACATTATAAATCAAAGCAGTATACCATTTTACTTTTCCCATACTCTTCAAAACAGGAGGTAATTTCTTTTGTCTATTCTGATCTTACTGTGGTTTCCATACATCTGCTCTACCAATAAAATTATAACTCACAAATTCATTATTTCTATCAAAGTACAAAAGTAGAGGGACGTTGGGGGGAAAAATTCAGTATGCACAACTCTGCATGGGGCATCTCTGTAAGGTGCACTGCCTATTACAGATTTCCCCCTGCTGCTTTCACTATAGCTTTCTGCACTTCTGGTCCTCTGTTCCAGTGCCAAAGCAAAAAATAATGAAAGAGAGAGCCCAGTGTGTGGAATTGTATCCTTTTTTTCCTTTGAAGTGTGAAAAGACTTACTTAACTTGTATAGCTTTAAGTAGTGATCTCTAATGAGTATCAAACATTTTTAATAGAAAGGTTAGGTATAAATTATACGAGCAAAGTGGCAACCAGCTAAACTCTTTTGGAGGAGAAACCTGAATCCCAAAATCTAAGAAACATTGGACCAGGTATTTAACATTGGACAAACACACCAGAGTGATAGGGAGCTGGAAGAGAACCCTCTCTCACATATTTTCTCTGCCACAGGGAAAAAAGAGCTATAATCCCTGCTTTTAGAGGCAAAAACAAGGTAATTTGATCAAATTTCACAGTGAAACTAACAATTCCTTTGGGAGTTTCTGAGGAACAGTAGTGATGTTATATTCTGGCAACATATCAAAGACAGGTTGTCCCAATGGAAGACTCATATTTTGTGGTAGTGGATGAAGTATGCCTGTGAATAGACACCGATCCCCCATAGAGAAAGCTATGCTTCTTTCACAGACCCTAGTCTTTTAAGATGAACTCCTTTCGGTTGTTTTATATAACTTAATGCAAGGATATAAGTTCAGTGAGTAAAACAGATGTAGGTGCATCTTTATGTAGAGAATGAAAACAGGGATGCAGATAGTGCTTTTGACTCAGGCTGCAACCTTTATGTTGGGGTAAGCCCTAGTGAATTCAACAAGACTTCATTCTGAGTAAATGTGCACGAAGGTCGCTAGACTGGTTTACAGGCTGAACATAAACTTCAGAAAACTGCCATGTTTTTCAATGATATATTCTCTGTTCTAATAACTGCAAAGTAGACTGCAACAATGCATAATTAAACTCAGATCTGTAGGCTCCAATAGTGTATCACCCACAAGATAAAATACAGTACTGTACTGGATTCCCCTTTAGATTGTAATTAGGGAGCAACTGTTATGGGAGGGAGGTAAACTCAACTCTTTGATACTGCAAATCAAATTGCTAATGCTTAAACTGCTTGAAATCTTTCCATGTGGATAAAAGTGAGACAAACTGCAACAAGGAAATACACTTATAATGAGCAAATAGTTTGCATATACTCAGAGACTTTCCTCTTATGATTGATAGTCAACACAATCCTTTCCTAAATAAATCCAATTTGGTTTACTGGGTTTTATGTCTAATGAATAGGATCAAGGTCCAAGTAGCATCGTTTCCAAGAAAATTACCTACAAAACAAACAATTTTAATCATGAAATTGTCAAATGGCCTTAGGAGAGCAGTGCCCCTTCAGCATTCCCTCTACATCAACTTATTATGCAGGAAAAACAGCACTGAATGTTTTTACAAGATTGATGAAAGGAATTTGATAATATAGTGCATCTGAGATACTCTAAACATTTAAAAAGTCTCTCTATATGCTATGCATTATTATCACTACCATTTCAGATACTCTATGTTTAAGGCTCTTTGCCATATTCTGAGGACTGAACTCTAATGCTGTAATTGAAGCTTGAGAGGAACCAACAAATATTGGGTGAATTTAATAGGGAAATTGTTTACTCTGACTATATTCTAAAATTTACCCGTCTAGAGGGTAAGGCTCCTGATCAGGAAAAAAAAAAAAACCCCTCTTAGATTTTGAACAGAAATTCAATTTGCAAAAAAGAGGTGAGTTTTTTTCTCAGTCTTTATCAATTCCTGAATCACCTGCCTGCCCATTAAAATTGAATAAAAGGCATAACCTAGACATCTGTGAATTTGGAATACCCCAGGATGAAGATTACTCCATGCTTATCAAAGTCAAATTCCTGCTCAAAACCCATTTTGCTTTGTGTGAAGTCTTTAACAGAACCCCACAGGC